GAGCAGCATGACTGGCGCATAACATATGGAGTCTAGATATAGCCCAGACGCCGGGCACCGGAGAGGTTATCAGCATGACTGGCGCACCGTCCCCCGGATGACGAGGCACACTGCGTAAGCATGACTCAGCATATTATGTCACAACGCAAACCCATGGTTCAGGTAACGGGCGCAAGAGGGCAGGTCGGCCGTCACCAGCAGGAAAACGTTATCAAGCCCGAACTTTGCTTTTCTCACGACACTTATGCAGGGGTCGTGTGGAGTGAGGGAAAGAGAATGCGGTTCAATCAACCCGCCTCCGCTCGAAACCGGAAACTGCGGAGACAAGGGCCACTACTGGACCGCAGTGTACCAATAACGAACCAGGTCAAGCTGCAAGACCAGTTGTTTGCATGCTGCCCGTTTAATGGCTCCTTAAATCAGTTTTCTCTTGGTGGAGACCTGTCAGCCAGTTGTAAAGTGACGGAATCTCGAGCTGACACATCCCGGCCTTCCCGCGTCTCACCCCGCGCGGGAAACGGAGCAAGCATAGAAGAAAGTGTGCAACCAGCGCGTGACGTCGCCGCTGCTGATATGCCTCGTCAGCGGAAGTCGCCGCGCGTCGCAGGTTCGAGACCGCCATCCGGTCTGGGGTGACTGGCACGGGCGGTGACGGCGGCCACTCTAACGCTGGCGATTTCGCATCAGCGGCTAATAGGAAAATGGTAGCAATAAAACGCACGTTTTGCAATCACGTGGCGGCGTGCCTCCGGAGTTTCCGATCTGGGAATGCCGGCCTGAGCCTAACAGCTGCCTGTCTCAAGGTCAGACGGGGGGGGGGGGGGGGATGACTGCGAAGAGAGCCCCCAAGGCGGTGTTGGCATGGTGCGGAATCGACATCCTCAGAGACCCAGAAGACATCGTAAGAAAAAGAAACAGACAGTAGACCAATCCTCGAAGAAGCCTTTCTACAAAGGGCCAAGGACTTGTATGAGACACAACCCTAGAGCCTGATACTTTGACGATTTCGAAAGTGGACCGGCTGCTGCCTAGGCACTCACATTCAGGCGGAAACAGCCAACATAACCCTAGAGCCTGATACTTTTAGCGATTTCAAAAGTGGACCGGGTGCTCTAGGCACTCACATTCAGGCGGAAACAGCCAAATCACATTTGTTATGCAGCATAACTTTTTCCGTTCTAATCGCGAGCATTTTGACGGAGCACGTCGCATGTACGTGAAGTTCGCGATCTATTAGGTGGTGTACTTAGCATCGAGTTTCAATTTTGTTCAAAACGTCCTAGCCGATCAATTATGGTGTGAGAACATCGAATCTGACGTCTCATATTCAGAACCACGTAACATTCGAAGGCAAATTCATGGTCAAATGACGGGGAACTCCATATCACCGAAAAGTTTCCGGCCGATTTCGAATTTTTAAGCATCAAAATATTCAGCAGCGCTTGAAGCAAAACCTCACGAAGGTCTCAGCCTCTCTATGTCACCCATCAAGGTCAAATTCAGGCTCAAAGGACCGGGAACTTCACCGGAAACCTCGGTGTGATATGGAGTTCCTGTCACCTGACAATGAAGGATGACCTTAAGGGGTCAAGGCTTGAGGCAGACGACAGATCATACCCTGATAAATCTGAAATCAGCCGGTTAAGTTTGGGTGATATGGTCCTTCGACCATGAATTTGGTTTTGAAAGTTGACCTTGAGATGTGAAGTCAGGTCATGCGCTAGTGAACATTCTGATGCTAAAAAAATAATAGGCTCGTAACTTGTGGGTGATATTGAGTTTCCCGTCATTAAGCATGCATTCTATCTTGAAGGTAGCCGTGAGAGGTCAGGACTTCTTGACGGACGCCGTTTACGCGCTGAATACTACTCTGAAACTTAACCGTCCAAATTCGGCCGTAAACGTTTTGGTGATATGACAATCCCCGCCATTTGACGTTGAGCTTTACATTGAAGGTCACGTGATGTTCAAAAATAGACGTCTCTGGCGCCATATTTTACCACCGGTCGCGTTTTCAACGAATTAAGAACTCCTCGTCACATAGTCTGATGAATAAATCACTTCACGGACGTCCACGTGGCACCATGCCAAACATCCTGTGGGACAATCGAACCCATTGCTCGCGTTGATTTCACCACTTCAACAAACAGGACAGTTGGGAATTACGGGACGGAAACCAAGAACGTCGGCAGAGTACAGGCCGTCTTTCCCCAGTTAGCATCAAATGCAGTCGCGCGGTGTCGCTGGTGAGCATTTCACAAGACAGCGCGCATGGTCGTAGCCAAGCCTTAATATTGTGTCGGGATCCTTTCCGTTTGTGCCATCAGACGTGGCCAAAATACAAAAATAGTCCGATCCGCCTAGAGCGTGCCGAGGTCAGGGCCATAACTACCGCAGGTGGAGTCCAGCCCGTGGCATTATCTGACCGCGTACAGAACAAGCCGCTAGCCACGCGTGCACTGCACGCAGAAAACAAGAGGAAGTCGAGCGGGTGGCAATTATCGATCGTAGTCGACACCAATCCGCCCTGATCAGACACCATGCAGCTAATGAGTATTTAACCAGACGCCTGTAATGTTCATCGATCCCGGTCCACCCCGACCCCCACTCCAAATACAGTCGTCACTCACCCGACCCCAGGTGTTTCGTCTCCTGCACCATGACGCCTCCCTTGCCGTTACTTCGCCGCCTCTCCCCACGACCGTCCGCCGCCGACTGAAGGTCAGACTACGCGCCGACGCCGACAGGCTCGACCGAGACACGTGCACCGGCGCCGGGGCCGGCCGGCGGCGTGACGTCACAATGGCCGCCGAACGAGGGGAAGGGGAGGGGCTGCGGCAGAACGTGGCAGAGTTCTGTCGCGGCTCGCCGGCACAGTTTATCGTGGATCCGGCCAAGCTATGTGTGATAACTTTGGAGACTGATGGCGCATTGGTTTGCCGCGATGTAGCCATGGTTTGTTATCCATGCGGAGGCGATTTACCGCGCTGAATGGGACGAGACGGGATATTTGCCCCGTCATCAATGAACGCGTGCGGCGCTTGGCTCAAGGCAAGCAGAATGCGGCAGTGGAAGATTATGAGCGCGCGCGCTGCAGCCACACGGGGGCACGCGTTGCCTCGGATACGCGAGTGCGGTTCATGTAGCAGTGCACATGACAAGAACCGACCTGGTTAGCCTCTACCTGACTCAACCGATACAATTTTTGCTCGGCCAGCTATCGTGTGTGTTTGTTGTTGTTTTGTTTTTGTTTTTTGTTTGGGCCGACAAATGTACTCGTGGAAAGTTAAAAGTATCGTAAGTTCATATCTAACCCACTTTCAAGAGCCTTAAATGAGACGCTCTACATATGCATAGGCTCTATCACTGGGACCGCCATTTTCAAAGTCGCGTCTTGTCACGTCTCAGTAAGACCCTTCGTAAAACTTCAGATCCTCCTGTTTCTGACCCATACGCACGCGAACTTGTGCACACTATTTCGCGCCGCCTCTCGAGTCGCCGAGCTATAGGCCACACTTTCATATTTGCAATCACATTAGACCCTTTGAAATTCGTGCTATTTTAAACGCAATGGCACATATCTTGCCACGATGGATGGCTTATCCATACATGATCTTCCCACCATTCCCACAAATGCGGTGGGTTTCTGGTACAGCCGAGCTAGCTAATGCAGCATCACCTTCACCCATTTGATCTTCTGACACATCGCAGGCAAGATGCGTCGCTGTCCACACACATGACAGCTTTCCTGGAGCCATTTAAGACCGCCCTCCGCATTGTCGGGGCACGCATTTAGTTCTTGAGATAACAGGGGGATCCGGCAAGTGATAATTTGACCAATTTGGCTTCATTCGACCTGTCAAAGGTCATATTCATCATCGCACAGGCAGAGCTGTGCAATCAATTCGACGAGACCTTATTTCCATTGCCGTACTCCGCGTGTTTCTACCTTGCTTTATTTTGAAAAAGGAGGGTCTCCGAGGTGGGAAGAACTCCCTTTCTAAGCCGGCCTTCATTGGATACTATATTTCTAAGCTTAATGTTCGTGGCGCAGTTGTGCTTTGTGTCCTGCGTCCCTGCTGGGGCGGGGGTGCGGCGGGAGCGCGCCGCCGCCGCGGTGGCGGGTCTCGGGTTCGTGGGCCGGCCCCGGCATGCGGCCCTCGGCGGTCGGCAGTCACCGTGCAGAGAGCAGGGAGGGTGGATGCACGGTGAGGAGCTGCTGTGGAGCGTGAGGAGCTGTAAAATACAGAGAAGCTTTGGGTGACGTACTTGGCGTCTCATTACACTTAGTGCTAGCTTAGCTTCCCAAGAAAGCTAATCTAGCGGAAAACTTTTCAGCTTCACTCCGTAGGGCGAAGCTGAAAAATACTCCCTTAGGGTGAGAAATCATTCGGACGACTACGGAACCTTATGTTGCAATGCATGTCAAAATATCCACACGCATGGCCCTTTTCCCATATTAGATGTAAACGACTGTATACGGGTCATGAATGGCCTTCAACTGGAAAACTAACATGCAACGGTTTGTCCAAGTGTGCGGCCTTAAGGACTCTTGCGGGCGAGCTAAATATAAACTTGAAGGGTCATATTTTCCACGCCCACGTTTGATGCCCCAACCATTGGAAAAAATCAGGGATCTAATCTAGCGAAAATTTCGTCGGTGTAGAGCTGGTCTACCGCGGCAAGTCAAAAAACATGGCAGATTGCATGGCACGTCGATGTCCTACGCGGACGCTGTGGGTGAGGGCCCACTGCAGTTCTCACTTCACCAGTGTCCAATGAGAGCTCGCGTTTGCGAGTTTGCGTCAAAACTGACCCAATGCCGCTGAAGCTTCAGATGATGCGGCACCTTTTTTCACACTGCTGCCATCTGACGGCGGAACTGCGATAACGGCTAAAACGCTGAGCTATCTGCCGGGAATTTCTGCGTTCAGTGATCACCCGCTACGTTTTGCGCCCACTCCATCGCAGCAATCGTGTAAGAAAGCCAGAGACCGGGTTAGCGACTCGTCTTCCAGTTACTGACATTGTGAAGCACCAACAATAGATGTTTTGTATCGATAGTGTTATGTAACGCGGCGTTCCAAGCAATCGTTACAGCTATCCGCGAAAACCGAAATGCATGGATCAACAGCTGAGAGCGCTAACAGGGTGGTTTACACTGAACGCGCGCTGGTCACCACACGCTGGATCACGTCTGTCTCTGGCAATGACTGCGCAGTCAGACGCAAGCGTACAAACGTCTCCATCACCGCGACTGCGCTGCATTTCTGTGGACAGAGTATTGCACAAAATGGAGCAATTTACATCCATAGCGCTTGCCCATCCATCGTCAAACACACATGTGCACTTAAAAAGGATTAAGTGACGCTCCATAACAGGCACTCCATATTCCTGGGCATCCTCGCCCGCGTTCGAACACTCCGTTTACGCAACGAGCAAAAGGTCGAGCAGATGCACTTTGCCTAACCAAAACCACCTCGGAATCAATCCGGCACTCGGAAGTCCATGATTTCATTATTTCATACCGCAACTACTTGGACGATGGGGCTCGCCTCGTCAGCTTCAGTGATACAGCATGTTACGCCGACTTGTGTGGACATCGCGCGCATCCCTGACAAAACGGAACGGCGGCGGTGGCCATGCAGACCGCCCGGGGCCCCGCTATTCTACACGAGGAGACACGATGGCGCTTTCGGCGCCACCAACAAGTACGGGAGGTTACGACCGGGGGCGCTACCAACGCCCGACTTCGAAAGCCTTGTGATCATGCACCCCGTATATGTAAAGATCACACACTTATGCGCACCCAAAACCCAAATTTGGATGCTTCATCAGCTCGGCTTTCTCGATGGCACCACAACCCATAGATATGCCATAGGTCATCAATCGATTGCACAGTTGGGCGTAAAGGGCATTCATCATTGTCCGATACCATCCACAACGATGGTCTAATTGCCCTCCATGTTGTAGTCTTGGGTGCCTTTCCTGAGGTCCGACAGGAAGCGACTGTGTGTTTCGGTGCTGATCAGGCAATCCTTGACAGCGGGATGTCCTTGCATCCGTGTCATCCACTCCCGCTGCGAAAAACACAAACAAGCTCAATACAATGCACGTTGGACGACGTCCATCAACACATCAGCAGTGAATGAAGCTTTCTCTCCTCTTCACCGTAGGCGGCCTTGACCTCGTACCAGATACGGTAACAGCTGGGTCAACCAGTCCACGCAAATGAGAAGCCCGAGCGATAGCCCGCCACCTCAGGCTGAAGTGGGACGCGTAACTCAGCCTCACCATGGCGTGCGGGACATGTTTCGGCCATCCCCGCGGTTCATCGCTCGAGGCGTGCACTGAATCAGACACATTCCAACAAACTCAGCCGCGCTCCGCAGTCAGCTGCACCGAGCGCGGAAGAGACTGCTGAGAGATGTCCGCATCCAGCGCAAGCCGGGAGCAGTGGACTGCGCAAGCGGCCAAGGTGTGTCAGTGTGTGTGACGTGATGTGATGTGAGGTGAGGTGAGGTGAGGTGAGGTGAGGTGATGTGATGTGATGTGATGTGACATGACGCGACGTGATGTGTCAGTGTGTGTGTGTGACGTGACGTGGTTTGTCAATTTGAGTGGGTATGTGTGGGTGTGAGTGTGAGTGTGAGTGTGAGTGTGAGTGTGAGTGTGAGTGTGAGTTGACGTGTCGCGCCGTGACCACCCACCAGGTGTTTGGCGGAGTCCGGCGACGGCGCAGTCTGCTCCGGCAGGATGGCGAGGCCCAGGGTCTGGAAGGCCGGCAGCCGCTCCATCCACGGCCAGATCATGAAGTCCAGCATACCCGGATGGTCGCCGTGGTAGAAGGGCGTGCCGCGGCGAATCAGCTCCTCCTCGAACGGCTGAGGCACCGTAGGGGCAAAGTTCAGCAGACAGGTGACACAGGACGATCTCATCTAATGAACAGAGCAGGACGAGTTCACAGAGTATTATGCAGGGTGACCTTACCGCTCGCACAGAAAAGCAAGAGCACATCAAGCAAACGGCAAAGAACAAAGTCATCCGACTGACGGCGCAGGACAAGCTCAGTAAACGGACGACGCAGGACGGGCTATTCAGACGAAAAGCGCAGAACGAACTCTTCATATGGCCGGCTCAGGACGAATAACCCGACAGATGGAGAGCATAGGCTCACCAGACGGCATGCACAGCGCGAGCTCATCAAAAGAACAACAGAACTGCCTGGGCTAGAAATGCGTTAATGAGATACGGATTGTCGGTGTCACTCAGAACGATCTGACATTTAGCTTAAAATCATGTCCATTCAGACAAACATGGTGTGGTTAAAAAGTGACAAATCATATGAAATTGGCCCACTCTTGAAGTGCTTTCTTGGATTGGAAAATAAGCTGAGACACCATCATATAGAAAACAGCCGGAGCTAGAGTCTTACCCGCATCCTCTTCCTGGACTTCTCCGCCAGCTCTTGCATCGCCTCCGCATCTTCGGAAAGGCGGAGCGTCTTGTGCATAGTGTTTATACACTGGAATAGATCAGCATGGGCTTCACTTATTCAACCCTACCACAGTCCAGGCCTTCACGGCATGGCATCACCCGAGACAGAAGGCGCTGAAGCCTGAAGCATCATACATATATTTCGACGTTTTCAAGGACATAACGCCCACCTTTTTTATCCATACATGTTGAAGGCAATGTCATGCTCTTCCGACTCATTTGGCATCATTATTTTGCTACGAGTTTTTCCTTTATGCTGCAATATTTCTGCAAAGTTCTGACAGTGACACGGTTCCAGTGGGCGATAGCTACCACCTGACAGATGGTTTTTCAAAGACAGCATCTTAGTCTCAAGCGCCGCGACAGAAGACGACGCGCAAGAGGCGCGATATTTGGGATATTTCGAACGCGCCAGGACTGAAAACAACTTTTCAGAAGTACAATTGTCCGCCCATCCTAGGCAAAAGACCAAGCGAAGAAACAAGACATTTCCCACTTCTGACATCTCCAAGAATGAGACATCCCCACACATTAAAGAGAGCATGCCACCTTTCCGCACGTCCCACTCAAGGGTAGATCAGACGCGTCCCATTTGGTCGGCAGTAGGAAGGAACTAACCGGCCGACGGAACCTGTTGACAACCACATGCTCCAAGCCTATCGGACCGATCGACACCTTCCCCTCCCCATTCGATGCCGCATGGTCGATAACCTACCAGATCCTTACCAGAACATAGTGACCTTGAGTCGGGTCGAAGCTCACAAAACGCCCCTAGCCACCAAAATTGGCTGCCGGCAAACCTACCCGGCTGCTGCGAGCCTATGGAGCCGATAGGAACGAAACTTTCAACAAGCGATGCGCCATGGTTGATCATCTATTCTTTCCCGAACATGGCGACCTTTTATGGTGAACTTTCCCTTGACCCAAGGTCGCCATCTTCTAGAGGTTAGGTCATCATCTATGGCGCATAGGGTGCCATACACGATGTGATAACGTGCCGATTGGTTGCATACGCTAAGAGATTGGTGTTGTCTGAAAACTAAACTACTGTAGTTTTGAACACTTCTGGTGGCCTTCGGCCTGGCCCAAGGCCATCCTTTTCTGAAAGAGTAGGAACTCGAGTATGTCGCATCAACGGGTGAATGTTTTGTGGTGTTCAGCCTTATAAGCTCAAGGCATGAAGTTATCTTCAAAGGGATTTTCGTTCGCTTCGGGTATTTTTGACGGGCTCTGACCTGACCCCAGGAATCTTCTGGAATAATAGGCAATCGACCACGGCACATAGATTGGTGAGTATTTTGTGGCGATCGGTTCGATATGCTCCGAGCATAAAGCTGTCTGCAGTGGTTTTGTCGGTTTCGGGCTTTTTTGTTGTTGCTTTTTTGGTGGCCTTTGACCTGATCCAAGGTGACCTTGCTCTGGAAAGGATATATTGTCCACCAAACCACATCATCTGGTGACGATTTGGTGCTGATCAGCTGCATATGCTTGGAGCATGGGGTTTTCAAAATGTTTGGTCTGCCTAAACGACCGGCCAAACCCTCCTCGGTAAGATCAGTTTTCTCGAAATCGTTCTGAGTAGCTCCGAATATCAATTTAAGGTAGCTACTCGGTCGAGAGAAAAGTCGCTGGACTCCCTGTTTACTAGCAATGAAAGGAATACGTTTCATTTGTTCTCGTGCTCCCACCATGCGTGCTGTAATATGTTCGCAATACACTAATCCGCCAAAATCCATAAGCAAAAATGGGGTGGAAGCTTAAAACACTCTTTATTGCTGAAGGCTTATGTAAGGTTTTCTTGAAACACTTTCTACGGAAAGCAACATGAAAATATGAGACAATTATCATGCAAATGACTGTGTTTACAAAACGGGCAAATACCAGCCACACATCACGTGGTCTAGTGACGCACATCTTCGAATTTCCACTTGCATACACTGTTCGCTAAACTGCTTACGGCGCTACGTTGCCAAGCATGAAGGTTCATTTTTACTAACGGTATTCATATCCATAATTGATGGAATACTTTCTGACCAGGTGTGCCAAGGGCCTGATTGTTGATGCTCGTGGACAGCTTTTCGCTTTATTAAGCCAACATTCATGTCGAACTTGAACGAGATTGACATCAAACCGTCGCGCATGGTCGCGGAGGCTACGGTGAATATCTCTCTTGAATGCCTAGTACGTGCCAAGATCGCCCATTCCAGAAATAAGATCAAAGAGAGAAATCTGGTGTTGCACCGAAGTGCTGCTGCATAACTTGGCCGAAAATAAGTAAAATTAATCTGTCTATTGTAACATGTTAGGAATGTGGTGGTATGCCTCATTTCTATCATTAGATACGACTAGTCCTGAGGTTTCCTCAGGGATTTCTTTTGGAAAGGCACGACACACTTCCTTTCGAGCCTCCGTCCCAACGTCTGCCCCGAGCAAATCGCCAAGACGCTGCAAACATAACCAACGAAGCAGAAAGTATTTCAACCACAGGGAGAACAATGGGCCACATCTATTTACTTTCAGAGAAAGCACAGTCGTACTACCACCCATAACAACCCTGTCTCTTAACAACGCTACCTACCGCGTTGAACTGCTCCACCATGAACTGGTCACGGGCCTTGGCCCAGGGATCAGCCGGGTAGAGGGCCGGCTCCGGGTACAGTTGCTCCAGCAGGTCACACGTGACCAGACTCTCGGGCACAAAATGGTTGTCCAGCTCCAGCGCGGGCACCTTGCCGACCGCATGCTTGGCCACGTACCACTCCGGCTTCTGCTTCAGGTCGAGGTTGACCACCTCGTGTCTGTCAAAACGGCGGTAAATGTTTCTGGTGGAAGCAGAATTCTGGGCAGTGTTTTTCAGCACTCTTGCTGCCACCTGGCATGATAAAAGCACAAGGGAACGGCACATCGATACCTCCGACAGCAGGATCACACAATCAGGTGTGGTACCGCCACTACCGCCGTGCTTTATACGTCCCAACCAGCTCTCATCCCTGAAAATTATCGCGAACACATAATGAATACAAGACAGCGGAGCATAACTCATAAAACTGCTCCATCATGGTTGGTGGTTGGCAAACAGGGCAGCAGAACTGAGCTGGCACCCATATAGATGGCACTGACAACTGTGATCACAAAATGAACATCTAGCTTACCTACCTCGGCTCCTTAACTGGTCACAATAGTCCACTCAGCGGCGCTGTGCCCGTCCTTATTTACCATGCAGTCGTGATCACCAGTTGTGACAGACACTGTAAGCCAGCACCCCAGTGATATCACGTACGGGATATGTTTGGCAGCGAGGACCAGTCGCGTTCGCTCAGCGTATGGACAAAATCTCATCGAGTAGACGCGCAGAGTGCCCGGCTTCAGCGGCGGGCACTCGGAACCTGCGGCACACATAGCAGCACTGATGTTACACATATCTTACAGATACCTTGTGGTTGCGACGTGCAAACCAAATTGCAAAGTTAAGTGCCCCCTGTATTTCATGAAAAGGCAGGCCATCGCCAGTAGACTATATCATATCAATGAACCTCAAGAAACACCACTTTGTGCTGACCTGAACCCAGATGTTTTGCTGTGTCCATAGAATATCCTGCTGTAGACCATCTGATGCTGATGAAACCCTGCTGGACATGGGGATGCACATCAAAAAATCCTGAATATTCAAGCCAGATAAAAGCACATACTGTCGCCTATCTATTCAAGTCAACTGTCCATCCATTCCTATAGCACAATAAGTTTGGGAATATACCATTCAAGTCATTCACCAGTAGTGGGATGGGTTCAAGTGGTGTAATTTCACATCAGATGGTGGCATCAGGGCTCACGCAACAAGCAATGCTTGCTGTGAGTGCTAACCCAGAAGCCTATCTACCCCAAAATTTCAGATCAAATCTTTCAGAAAAAGCTCAGTATGTCAAAATGTCCTGTCCAATTTTCATTGAAAGTCTGTTTTATTGGTTAGGGTTTAGTTGGTTAGGGCAACTGCCCTCCAAATCAGCCACCTGTGGCAGGCTGGATCCAGCCCCTTCAGGCCTGACATTCCCACAGAAGGATCAGGTGATGTCACATAGCTTGACAGCCCAAGACAAGCAAGGCAAGCTTTTGCTGCAAAATTATGCCATTAACATGGCATTTTTTACTGGAAATTGGTGGGGTCATGGCTTATGGAGCATTCACCATGTGCTGTGGGTTCTGATAGAAGAAATCTACTCAAAGGATTCTGGCTAAATATTTTCATAAAATACACTTCCAGTGGAAACTTAGTGTGGGTGACTTCACTGACTTCACTGACTTGACTAAAATCTGAATGTGTCAGCTCATTGCAACTAAAAGATTCACACATATGCTTTTGGGTGTTTTAAGTTGTGTGGGAAGCTTCCCTCGGTTTTCCGCCCATGGAGTAGAACTTGTTCAAAACCTCAGAACTTTATCTGTAATAAGACAACAATCATCTCTGGCAGATGACTGAACATGCTCCTGTTCAAGCACCACCCTTAATTTGGACCAGGTATCAAACATATGAACAAGCCTGTCTGGGATGCTAGGTAAACATAAATTGTAGTATTGCGAATGAGGGCATCTTCTGATTTTTACAGACAGGGCCAGGATGCAAAACTTCATTGCATACTTTCTACCAACAAGGGGCAGTTTTCCAGCACTGCTCAAAAGTCAATGCACATGTAAGAAGAGTTAATACCAGCTTTAAGCAGCATGTCATTTGCTGCTACTACATCCCTATGATAAGGTTATCAAATGCTTTCTGATTTCTTGACTAGAATATGTTGTTTCTTATGTGACCAATGAGAAATATAGCATTTAGCTATTTCCTGATTTCCATTACAGGCTTTATATAATGCCCAATTCCACAACCAACACGTACCAGCAAGACACTAACTGGCAACACACATTCTCCCTCTCTCAACCTTGCATTCTGTATTTCAACTCCTAGTGCATTCTCCATCCAGTACCAGTGGAAAGGCCATGACATTATCAAGTCTAATATCACAGAAAATAGACAGTAACACATACCAGGACTATAAGACATTATAATACAGGTGTGAATGATCAATGGGTGCACCCATTTGTTTATAGGACATCACATTGGTAGTACCATTGAAAGCCATGGTTTGGCTTCAGGAGAATCAGGTCTTGAGCATTCATGGGGTGCAAACTAAATGGAAAAGCTTTCAAAATATGAGGATTTGTAAAGTAAATAATAAGCAATCTAGGTAATTCATCTACTTTTCATTACATGTTGAAGAGCTATATCTGTGACATTGGGAGGGAATAGTGCAATCTAGGAGGGCCCTTATAACTCACATCTGCAATCATGCTTTACTTATGGCTGCACTCATGCTTTACTTATGACTCATAGGTTTGCAGAGTTTCTCATAAACTTATGGACTTTACTTAGCATTCTTAGCACTATATGACATATCTACATGCATCCCAAAATTATCTCCTAGTTTGAGCCCCTCAGATAGCAAGCAGCCATTTGAGCAACAAGGCATATGTGTGTTGGTTGATCCGATACCATTTGGGGGAAATACTTAGAAATCCTTTACTGACAAATGCCACCACATTGGCAATTCATTGTGCCATTGCCCATGAATCTGGCCAATTCATAATGTTCTTTGCAGATCATTCATGATCATAACAGAACTGATGCACATCCCACAACAGTTAAGGATGATGTCCCCCGGGTTCAGGATGGCTTCAAATCAGGAGGGTATATCAATTACCTTATTTCCAGCAAACATGACTGTACTGCTATTTAGCACCCTTCGACAGCCCCGCATTTGGTTCCAAACACCCATGTTTACGGTTCACTTGCTATATAATGTTCAGCTGTGACCTTGGTTTGTTCGAACGAATTCGTTTCCACGCTCAGCCTATCTCTTAACAGCGCAAAATTTGGATAGTCCTCCCCCACAGCCCATTGGGATGCGCTGCCTTATTGCTGCCCGCAAACTCCGCAAAGCCTGTGCAGTTTGTTATGTCGCTGGACCACCAGAACTGTATCCTTAAAACATTTTGAAGGAAGTGTGTCATATTTTTTATTTTAGATTTTGATTTGCTAGTGATTATGTGTTAAAAAATAGGACGCGTGTAAATCGACTCACGAGTGCATCTACAAAGAACAACTTGAATTAAAGCTGCTATGCCGCCACAAATTTGAAATTTAGTAGGTTTTGGTATAATCCAGCTTTCTCTGTCAGCTGCCGCAGTATTAAAAGCTCTCGTAGATAGGCGGGGTGAAGTAAACTACCGAATAGTTGAGAAGGAATAGGGTCATTGAAGTAGGGGTGGGTCCAGGAGAAGGCAAAGGAGTCACGCTCCAACGGTCGTAAACTCATAAGTTGCCTCTTCTCTGCAAAACGGGCGGACGTATGCTGTCATGGGCATGCTACGTCACGTTTTCAACAATTGGTTGCGTAGATTTCTCGTTTTGTTGCTGTTGGGGGCTCCGAAAGAAACGAAACGAAAGTAGCAGTTCGGACAGTCAACTGTGTAAACAGCCAACGCATGCTGGGAGCTTACGACGCTTGCAGGTTTAACATGAGTATGTCATTGCTGGTGGATGGCTAACTTGTTAACACATTGACATTTTGAGAAGTGAATTATCTCGCTATTCTGTTGACTGGGTCCCCCAGTGACCCGTTAACTTCATCACACCCAGCCTACCGGGCGCAGACTGTCCTACTCCCCGCACACAGCGGCTTTGGCAGTTCCGAGGCGGTCAGACGCCACCCGGCGCTCTCCAGCCACCTTGGAAGGACCGTGGTCTCTATGAAGTGGTTTACTCCATGTTGGACAATGCTAGGTTGGACCGGAGCTCTGGCGGATGGCGGCGAGGTTAGCTCGGGGAGCTCGTCCCAGATCCGGACCAGGTGGTTGGCGCTGAGCTGTAGCCCCTGCAGGCTTCTGCTCCCAGGGAGTCAGAACTGGTTACCCAGGGGCGAAGTTCGACAATGTGAATTTGGATGTGCTCAATAGCAAAAAATGACCAAGCCTACCCTAAGAGATATGCTAACAAATAGGTTTCCCCCTAAATTTGGCCTACTTCCTTTCCAAACATGGGGGCGTGGGGGGGGGGGGGTGGTTGGAGCCCAAGTTAAGGGGCCGAGTTCGCCCAAAGAGACTGAATATATAACTACACCCCTGCGTTCACCAGCACGTCACCAGAGAGCAATAGCAGCGTGCGAGCGCCCAGGCCGACGCCAGCCCACAGTCGTGGAGGAAGTCAGCTCCAATGATGACTGTCTGGACGCCAGCAGCCAGGAGCCGCCAGGCAAAACTGTGGCCTCCCAGGTAGACAGCCCGAGTGGGGAAGCCGTGGGTGGTCGTTACGAACTTGTCGGCTGCAGTGGTCACTGCGGATCCGCTAGCTTCAGTGATCCGCGGGCTGGTGAGCTTCAGTTCCAGCTGCCGCCTGCATGACGGCCTGCGGGAGGAAAACAATATGCATTTAATACCACCCTTTCACTCAAGTTGAAGTCTTGTAGTTACGCTTAGTTCAAAAGTTTCCATCGAGAACCGAGCTCGACGCACCGCAGACGTCCACAATTTTTAAGTGTCAAAGCACTTGTATGTTTCCGACATTCTTATCTGAACATTTTGCCTGGAATTTGAAACTATCGACATTTAGCACGCGTATGAATATAAACCATACATTTACCAAGAGGCCATGGGAGCACGTGCCCTGGTGGAAACATGCACGATGGGCTATAGGTAATAACGTACACTACTTACACCGTAAGTTCACTGTCGCTATGGGCGTACACCTTTCAGCTGAGCTAGGAGGCGGTTAATTGAGTTCAGGAGACTCTTGTATGCATCAAGAGACCAATTGTCTGAATCAGGAAGCCCCTTTATGAGCCAGTTATGCCCTGTTCTGAATCAGGAGACCTCGTTTTGTGTTAGGCGGTTGCTGGCTCGAAAGGCCCCAAAACGTCGTGTTGCATTTCTCCACAAGATGTGAGTGGCTCTCAAGAGGAAGCATTAGCGTATTAGATTGCCGTGGCCAAATAAGCAGCCCTTCCACAGGGAAATGATTTTCTTGGAGACTAATGCGCAAATTCTTGGGAGCGAGTCGCACCCAATTACATACTGCGAGTACACCAAAACCACACTGAGGAAAGGTCCAAGAAGGGACAGCATTTGTCATTAATGATTTTCAAAAGTAATGTAGTGGGCGCTTACTTATAAAGAAATACTTAATTTTCGTCAAGAAGTTGCATCCACATCGTGGGGCCACCTTTTGCACGGTGGCGAAATCCAGAGGAGCTCACCATAAGAAAATCCGTGCATTAGTGACGTTTCAACATCATTAGAGTCATTTTCACGCCAGCATTATATGACAGGCACCTAATTGGTACGAAATCAGAAACTCACCAAGCCTTGGATAGGCGGCGCTCATTCTCATCGTTTGCCGTCAGGTCTATCAAAATAATCAAGGGCGGTTTTATTCCGTACAGATGTGGCAGTTCATCATATACATCTGCGGACTTGATTCCATGGGACCAACCATAAAAAACCGCAAACGTGAAATGGCCAACGAGGGCATGTTGGCGGCGCTCAAAGCTCCCAGACTAGAATTCCCCGTCTATTTTGATAGCTATTACGTATCATACTGGTTAATTCTCTCTGTTAATGCTAGTTTTCGTGCATTTCATGCTCGCGGTATCTTTGGTCCGTCTTACAATGCTGACGTGAAAAGAGCCAACAGGAACTTTACATGGGTAGGAAGCTTGCAAGGCTAGCGATACTTTCACGCGGAGGTCTCCCGCGTTTGGGACTTCGTGCTACAAATTACTCAAGATCTCCACGTGGGCAAACTAAGGGATCATGATTTTCGGAAAGCTGGTTTTTGGACGTTTCCTTATTTCCACTTCTTTGTGTGTTTTCATGAAAGGGACCCATTTAAACCTTGCTAAGCGTACAGATAGACGTCTGATTTCTTGCTAAAATGCTCGCAACAACCCATTATGACTTTCAATTTCTTATGTTGAGTTAACGTTTAAGTAGCCGTTTAAGTAACGTAAGGTTTACTTTACCCAGAGGGCACTGATTAAACGGCATTGTAGTGCTTAGCAATGATCATATTGGCGCTACTCAAGATTTCGAGATGCTCTCATCCTCAAGAGTCACCCTTGTGTCCAAAGTGGTCGCAAAGTGATTAATTTTGTTTAACAAACAGAAGGGAGCATAAAACATAACTTGCCGTTAAACTCTCCATAAATGCAAATATGCATGAGATTGTCCTATGTCAACAATAAAGGTGAAATCCGTCTATCGGAGTTGCCTTACAAGCGTTAAAATGAAAATGAGGAAAATATGTATACACCTCTGCTAAATCGAAAACAAATTTTGAAAATAACGACGAACTGGAACCAAAAAGGCACGAGTGTCGCTTTATGTACGTTCTGGAAGCCCCGAGCTCCCCAGTACTGACTTGGAGCTGTCACCACAAAAAGTCATCCTGAACGTTTCTTAATGTGCTTCTCATTTCAACTCCTTTATATGATATGCAAGTGTGCAAATATTTGCAGCTTTTTCATGAGACTGTGCCTGGATCCGTGCAACAAAAGTGGTCTGCAATAAGCGTTAACTCTTATGTATAAGGTGGCTGGTTTTAAGGTAAAAGTATTTTATAAGGTTGGATCACTACACCCACGTCACAAAACGAGAACATTTCACAAACATTATGAGCAAGGCTATCAACTATAATTATCATACCTCAGCTCGCAAGCACTGCTCTCACAATGTAAAATGTCTATTGCGGTTGGGGGCTCGTTGTGCATTCCAAGTGCTTTGAGAAACCTGTTCTGGCCTCCGCTGCCACCGCCAGATTTGCTTCATTCCAGCTGTCACTTTTCAACGCTGTCGCGATGCATCTTTCCCCTCTCCTTTCCAGTTTCCAGAACTTTCCGTCCCTGCATGACGCCTCTAATGTGCACACTTGCTCTCAAAACCTGAACATGTCTTTGTTGTCTTATGCATGAGCTGATCACATGTACAGTATATGAAACAATCATTCATTTTGTATGCCATTCAGCTTTCACAGGAGATTCCTAAATTATTGAAGAGGACACCTCTTTTTCGCTTCCTACCGGGTACCAGCTCTAACTTTATGAAATGCACATTCATAATTAGATAATTAACTTGCGCACAGGAGATTATTGCATCTTTTACCTTAAGCTGCTGTCAGACTAACCCGCTGGGAGTGAGAGCTACCTCTAGCCTTGAAAGACGAGCATCCCTTTATATCCACTGGCAGTACGAGCTACTTCTTGCCTTTTAAAGACGAGCATCCATTTGTAACAGTTAGTGCATTAATTTGCTTGGCTTTGGTGCTTCGGATTCACAATGAGATCATACGTGCATTGCAGTCATCGGGTACAAATGCTTTGCAGTGTACTTGTTAAAGACCGAGATCCCGTTTTCGAGGTCGGGAGCGGAGCTCCTGGAGAGCGGTGGTCACGTTGTTAACAAGTGGCTGTCGGTGGGCTTGCAGAAGACCTCCGGACGCTCAGCAATCCTCGTGGATCTGATCGATGTCGCCACGAGGTTGAGGCGGCTGAACAGCTGCTCCGGGTCGGCCGTTGACACCGGCAGGGCGGCGAGCACCAGGATGAGCTTGTGAATGTTGGAAGCAGGAGGTCCGAGCACTTGGCTTAGGTCTGTACCACAGATTTTGCAGTTTCTTCTTTCCTTTCCACAATTCCGGCCAGATGCTGTGCTCAGGCTCAACGGCCGGTACAGGGTCCAGAAACCCGCGCATTGCGTCACGGCCGGCTTCATTGCCGTCCAGCTCTTCATACTTGCCGGAAGCAAGCCACGGAGTTTGAGTGATGGCTGCCGCGGCTGCCCGAAGCAGGCGTGAAGCTGGATGAGGACAGCTGTCTAGCAGGGGGATAAAGCAGTCTACTCTGAAGTACTCTGCAGCATCGCAGA